CAACAAAATTCAGCATGCCTTCACTATTCACATTGCTACTTGCAGATTGCACAGTAGTTCTTCAATTATTATTTAAGCAATTTCTGAAGAAAATGTTTAAATTTTTCAGAAATAGTTTCTTTAAGATCTGTGAGGTTTCGCATCTTCATCTATTGCAGATGACAGACATCTAGAATGACCCAAAACACACATGAACTCTTCTCTGCATTCAGCTTACGAACTGGATATAACAAATTCAAGTTCAGTTCCTCAGCCTTGGGATAACATCTACAGCATGAAATACGGAGGACTATAGTAAATGCTTTAAGCAGCCAACTTCCTAGAGGTTTGACTGATGCACTAAAACATGAAATTCCATCCTAGATCCAAGAAGTCTTCTTGACATTAATGGCAACAATGACAAAACAAGATGTGTATATTCCCAGTAAGCTAACTGGAACTCAGGTGTAGCTAGTTGGAAATTTCTGACAAAAATCACTGTACAATCACATACACAGAATCACATAATGGTTGAGGTTGGAAGAGACCTCTAGAGATCATCTAGTCCAACCACCCTTCACACGCAGGGACACCCAGAGCACGTGGCACAGGGTGGCATCCAGGCGGGTTTGAAGATCTCCAGAGAAGGAGACTCCACAACCTCTCTGGGCAGCCTGTTCCAGGGCTCTGTCACCCTCACTGCCAAGAAGTTCTTCCTCATGTGGAGATGGAACTTCCTGTGTTTTAGAAGTCTCAAAACAATTTAAACTCTATTTTTTAAAGTCTGCTTGTTTTAAAATTGCACCTGTACAAAACCACACTTTACATACAGACAAAACAGAATTTTGGTTACCTACGGGCTTTGATTTCAACACCTCAGTGATTTCATTTGCCTTTCACTAGCCCATTTATATCCTTTTTAGCTAAAGAAGAATCAAGTGAATCTGTTAGTAAAAAACATAGTGGCAGAAACAGTTTCTCATGAATGTTTCAACTGGTAAAAGGCATATATCAGACCTTTGATATTTTTCAGGGCTTAATGTGTTCATGATTTTCCACAGTTTTATAAAGCGAAAGGAAAAGTCATATGATGGATATGATTCAATTTCCATTTTAACAACATTCATTGAAAATACTGGCTTTCAGAGCACTTGGGATACAACGAGACGAGGATAGAGATGAGACAAATAAAGTCATGGGAGAGGTATCACATGCTAGATAAATTACAAAAGCCATCTCTGATGCCTGAAGTTGACCATCTGGAAACGCGGGATATGAACTGATGCTTGTGCTACCTTAAACAGGAAAGGAAGAGTGAGCAGAAAGCAAAAGAGTTCTTGCGAGAAAGAGCACCTCAAAGCCAGACACTTTACCTCTGTGCTACGTTGCGGCTACCTGAATATCTTGTTGAATCACCTTGCATTATGCAGCGCGTAGGCTTCTCCAGCCAATCTGATTTTCAGTGTGCAAGGAAAAGCCAAATACCATATCAGTGACCTTGCCAGTCCTGAGCAAGGGCATATTATGATATTTTTACTCACTTTGCAGTTGCCATTGGACAAAATTCTGCTGCAGTCACAGGGTAGGAAAAGGGAGAGGAGAATAAAATGGGAATGCCTCCCTTGAGTTAGCGTGGGTTGTGCAACTATTTGATTACAGTTTTTAAATGAGAAATTTTCTGAAACACATCAAACACTGGAAATACTTTGTCAACACAAGGATTTGTTCTGCGTTCCTGAGTAAAATACAGCATATAAGCACATATGCAGTACTGCTCCTAAACCAACAGCTCTCAAACCCAGGGCTTGAGATGCCAGTGGATTCACAACAGTTATCTATGTTCTCTGTATTACTCATGTTCTTCTTTACCTAGCTACCAAAAGAAAAAAAAAAAAAAGAGGAACAGAGAGGAGAAAAAAAAAAAGCATAAACATCTACTTCCTCATTGACCTACCTATGGAATAAAGACTTGAAGGAAGGAGACTTAAGCAGCAGCATGTGTTGAGTGTAAAAACAAACAAAAACTGCTGGTTACCTCACCTCGCACAGTTCCTATCACAGCTGCATCAGTCCAGTCTTTCCAGCTGAGTAAATGGGGCCCTAATTCCTCCAACTATATCATTTTTACTCTTATGACTATGGGATTATTCCTCTAAATGCAACTGTCATGGTCCTACTGGGACAAAAATTTGCAACAAAACATTTTCAACAAAATACTTTCCTTCTTTTTGCTGGACTGTTTTGTTTGTTTTGTTTTGTTTGTTTATTCGTTTGTTTTTGTTTTTAATGCAGAAAACCATCAGACTTCAACCATCAGATCTCCCTCATCTTCATATTTGTAAGAAGCCTGAAAGGGACATATTTTTAAATTAGGGGCTTTGCTTCTTTTATTAATTTAATTTGCACCTTCCAATTTGCTGAATTCACTAAAAGCTCTTCAAAGAGAGTCAATGTTCTCATACTACTAGGCATATCTCTAACATAGTAAATGAATAAGCCTGTTAAAAATCCAGATTTGTAGGAAAATGGGAGTTGCCTTGTCATAAATAAACTTTTTTTTTCTTTTTTTTTCTTTTTGTAGCTCATTCTGCTTCTGTATATTTTATTATGATTTGGTTATTTCCCTTCTCTGACTGTCTAGTTGCAGCAAATGACCACAGAAAATTTTTAAAAGTGTTACATCCTGAAGGAAGAAGGAAGTGACTGAGATTTTTCTCAAGTTATATCAGCTATAATTATACTACTACATAAGTGAGAACGTCATCTGTGAAGCCAGTGGAGCTGGGAAACTACTACTCCTTTAGCAAATACTGATTAAAACATTTTGATAATAGGTTTTCTACCTGCAAAGGCCAAACTGGAAGGAGATATACAGCCTTTATTTTTAGTTCTTCATTATTTCCTTTCTTTATACACAGAAAATAAGGAGCAAACCTCAAGCATCTTTATATTTCAAATGTCAAAGCAAGCAACCTAGATTTCGAAATCTGATATAAAATAGGCCTGGAATTATAGTCATTTAGGCCTGATTACAGGCAAGGACCTTCAAACCTTGATCATAAATTGCATTCTAGGACACTGAAATTTAGCAACTGCCTAAGTCCTAAGAGATGTCAAAATTTATCACCCACTCAGCTTTGTTTTTATTGTTTAAATCTGAAATTTCCCTAGCTGTTTGCAGAGCTGCTGCTCATCAAGCTCAGCCCAGACCCAAACACAAGGCAGAGACACTGGCAGCAGGCGGGCTCGCAGCCTGCCTGGCGCACGCGCACACTGCTCAGCTCCAGCACCAAACACTGCAGCTCATTCAAGAACGTGAGAGTCATGCTCCTCATATTTTGCATGCTTTTATCCAGCAAGAGTCACATGAACTTCATACATTTTTTTAGGAGTAGAGCTCAGAGTCTAACTTTCCCTCTTCTGCCCGAGCACTTTGGCTATCCTGCTGCATGGAGTCTCAAAAAGAGCACCAATGTCTGCGCTCTCACCTCTTCAGTGGAGCAGGTTGGAGAAAAGGCTTAGAGAAGCTCTGCACCCAGATGAGTTCCCAAAACTCTCCGGAGAACTCTTAGGTCACAGATATTGTCGACTGGCGAAACATGAATTTGAATCTCTTCAGACCAAGAAAAATTGCCTCCACTGCCTAGAAGTTGCTAAATGAAGCTATAACCATTTATTGCTGCAGAAGTGTTCATATAAAAAAAGCAAGCAAGGATGCCTAATTTTAAAGAACAGCTTCTCAGAGAGTGTTCTAGAGTTTGGGATCTCAAATGCATACAGGTGTAGTCCTGTCCCGAGCTTCCAAAAGATGCCACAAGTGCTAATGTGACGGTAGCATCAGACTGATGCATTATGAAATGCATTTAATGTATTCATTTTCTCTTATATATGTATGATTTGTTAAAAATAGCTAATGAACAATTGGACCAAATATTTTCCTTTTTAGGAGGCAATATTTCAGCTTTGCAGAAATGATATAGTCAAGATTTCAGCTTTGACACAAGTTTAATTTTCCATCTCTTTTGTAGTGCTTACTGCACAACACCACTGTATTATGAAACAGTGTTGCCTAATTCAGGAAGTGTTGTCTCTCTCCCAAAAGTTAAAAGGCAAGTGGAACATCCAGTTCCTTTCAAGTAATCTGCATTTCATCAGGATCTTCCTAATAGTATATACAGTTTCCTTACATATTAGCAGAAGTGTGAACTAGTTTTAAGGAATCTCTTTAAGTGTACCAGTAATCTAACACTAAATTATCTGTCTTTCTCTCTTCCACTCTATCTTATTCTGAAAACTGAAAAAAAAAATTATTCTGAAATTTTTGAACTAAAATGAAAAATCAAGTCAATTACTTTGAATGAGAACATGGGATACCTTTAAATTCAGAAATATAGTCCCTATAGAGTTTTTTCATTCTCAGTGAAGAGAGGTGGGCTTGCTTACTCCCTTCAGTGCCCTCCATGAATGGGAGAGAAGGACGAAAAATCGTGGCAGCTCCAACTTACCTCTAATGTAATCATCACAGCCGAGTGGCTAAAGAATTAGGTGGGATGAATCCAAGCACAGGTATGTTAAACCTTGCACAATCTTATTTACTTATCCAATAGGCACTTCCAAGGACAAGCTGCAGGGCTCTGCCTCCTGTCCCTGCTATGCAATGCTAAGAACCAGCAAGTGTCTGACGCAATCCTTGCTAAGCACCCTCACCTACCATCTTAAGGAGTCCCAGAACTGGTCAGGGCAAAACTGGCTCATTCCCAGCAGCTGTCTTTTAAGGAGTCCCAGAACTGGTCAGGGCAGCTGTCTTTTGTTCACAAAGTGAAGAGAGAGAGAGAGAGAATGTCTACACTGCATTAACTATGCATGTGAAGGACTGGATCAAGTGCAAGCGGTGCAACAAACCCAGAATGCAGGCAGATGAGGTTGAAGAGTGAATTCCCATGAACGAACCTGAGAAACTAACCCAGAATGTGGGATAGCAACAGTAGACTTTTATATAAACATGGAAAAGGGTAACTTACAGCACTGGGTGATCTTCTGGATGTTAGAAGTGATGCGCTGGGCTAGCTGGTTCGGATCCCCAAAACCTGCACTGTACGACATGGCTGAGAAGATGAGGTGTCGAGACCATCCACGATGGGAACAGGTCAGGCAATCTCCAATCTCCACCAATTAAGGGCACCTGAACCACCACAGAGAAGAGGGTTATGTCCTGGCCACGGCCTTTCAAAGACCTTCATCAAGATTAAACAGAGCTAGTATTTATCCTCTGCTAAAAAGGTTTACTAGAAAGATAGCGTCTAAGAGAATGCTGTCTTAAAAGTATTAAGTAAGAAGACCTTTTTGAATTTCCTACAGTAAGATAACATTTGCCATTAATAGTCTTAACCATACACAGATCATAAGATCTGCAATTACTCTACAGCAGCTACATCACAGAAGCAGCTTCCTGTGCCAAATCTCTTATATGAGATTGGCCACTGCACAAAAAGAAAAGGTCATTTTCATTTGTCTGTCATTCCGGAAAAAAAGCTGCACATTTATGCTTCGAGTGCCAAAGTCTCTGAGGAATTAAGCCTAAATCCCCATTATATGGCATTCCCTGGCCCACCAATACCTCACCCATCTTATCGTGAACTGCTGAGAAAAAAAAAAAAATTTATCAGAAGATATCAGAATGAATGAGGCACCCTAATCCCTCCAAATGCCAAATATTTGCATCAACTTCAGTTTTACAGGCTTTCCAGTTTCTTCAGAATTCTATGAATAGCCATTTTGTGCTGTGTCAGATGCTGATTCTCAACATGAATTTATTTTTCTACTACTTAGGTATACAAATTTTTTTTAGGGTATTTTCACCCCCAGAATTACCAGATCTTATTTTAAAAAGCCCAAAATCTGATAGCACAGCATATTCACAAATATGCTTGCCTTAGAAGGAATTATACAGGATGTAACTATTACAGATATCCTGGCTTGTTTTTCATGAAGGGACACCAAACCCCACCCCAAGCTCAAAGGCAGCACACGTCCAAATTGGCAAGAAAGCTGCTGTGCAAATTCAGCCGAGCAATTAATCTATTCCACAGTGGGAATGCTGACTAATGTATCCAATACTATGTCCAGGCTGTGCTTAGTCTACTTGTTCCTTTCTCAGCTCCTGCATAGCACCTTCACAGCTTCAACACCTGAACTTCACCAGTCCCCTGCACTTCCACTGTTTGTCCCAAACACTGTGCTTCCCCCACAACCAAAAGAGTCTTCTTTTCCTAGGCCGTCAGTTTCTGGTGAAAAGACATTGCCAAAAGCCAATTTTAAATAAGAGGGATAAATAATATTTTAATGTTTAAACAGAAAGGAAGGTAATGAAAAGTCCAAGCGACCAGTCAAGTGTGATACCAACCATTCCAGTTTGCAAACTGAAGCCCTTACAAACATTTTTTTTCCACTAATAGAAATCTTACTGCCAAATACTATTTTTCTGCACCTTCATAAATGCCTGCATTAATACTGTGCAGCAGTACTCTTGGTGATTTGTAACAGAACTATTCTGCACCATTGCCAGGGACAGCAATTGCACTTGAAGGAAAAATCAGTTCTTTCAGTGTTCATGATCTCTAGCAGAGGATCCAACATCTAGCACCCAGGAAACAGCCCACCAGCATCCATCAAACTCCTCACTACAGAGCTCAGCCTGAGGGCAGGTTGCAGCTACGCTAGACTAAGGAGCTGCTCCTACAGTAAAGGCAAAGCCTAAGCAACTGTGAAAGGGCTGAGGCACCAGGGTCACAAATCCTGTTTGGAGCCCTTGGGTTCTGAAGGATTCCCCAAGCAATGAACACCCTGGGTTACAGATGGAGACTGGGGATGGATTTGCCACCTTCACGTGACTTGCTGCACAGTCACCCACAATAGTTCTTCTTCTCCAATCTTTGTCTGCAGATCCAAGTTATTTTCTGTTACAGACTAGAGCCTGAAGTCACCCAGCCTAAATCCTGCTTATCTGGAAAGATGTCTGCATAACAGCGCTTGGCCCTTCCAAAAACTCCAGGCAACACCACATGGATTTGGCACTGCAAGGTCAAACCCATGCAAACTTTATACTGAGTAAATACCTTTACGCTTTAATAACAGAATAACTAAGGAAATACTACAGATTTTGTGGGGGAAAAAAAAAGATTTGAAAGCATAAAATCTACGTAAACCTCCTAAAAAAATGACTAATAACAAAACATTTTAAGAACTTTGACATTTTTTAAAAAATTATGACTATTTCTAAATATATCGGTAGCATGAAAACTAGAATAATAGTAGCAGACAATCATATTTTTTACTTAAGACATGTAATGCTACAGGTTGAACATCAGAATGGGAGGAGACACAGCAAGAGATCAATTATCTCATGTGAAAAGGCTACAGACCTAAATAAAACAGCCCTTCACAGTTTTTTTTCTCCCCTTACATTAGTATTCACCAGGCAGCTGCCTGTAACGCGGCTTTCAACAAGAGCATTACAATCAAGAGATAGACTATTTCATCCAAGTGTTGACAAAGCAAAGTGACTTTTTTATTCCTTCCTGAGAATTTCTACAACTACTATTTTAAAATATCTTTAGACTGGTTACCTCACGCTTTAGTAACAGCATTCTTTGAAACATACAGATTGTACAATGCACAAGAGCGTTTCCACTTCCCAGCTACACAGCCAAGCAATAAGAGGATGTTCAGATTATAAATTACAAACATGATACAGTTCAGCTCTCTGCATACATACATTATTTCTAAAGAGTAAATGGCACCCTATCGAGAATAAGTTTCATGTAGTGCAGTACAAATTTGTCCCTGAAGTCAGGTCAGGCACCTGCTGGTAACAGCTATGAAGCATCTGCTGAGGTCTATGCACACTCCCAGAACCTTGTATTTTGCAGTGTCAAAAGACTGAATAGAGCTTAAAGTTAGCCGATAACTTCTGCTGTGGTGCTAACAATACTCAGCAAGCTTCTTAGAGTCAGTATTTGCATCTATCACCTTAAAAATATCATAACAGTACTTCATGCACTAAGCAAAGCCTGTCTTTCATAACCAGTTACGCTGCTCTGCAGAGTACTGAATCTAGGACCCACTTGCAACATTCAACATTTTTAGTTAGTAATATCTACAGCATGATTTTGTTAGAACTCATTTTAAAATCCCAGAAGAGGATAAAAGTTGACCCAATTCTTTAGCCTTTACTAATTTGAACTTGGGGTTTTAAACGAAGTTTTCTACTTCTGTGTATCATGAAACAATTCCAGGTTTTAGCATTTAACAAAGAAAAAAAAAAGTATTGTGAATTTTTTTCAAAAAAAAAAAACAATTACATATCTAGTTAAAGTGCTAACATTCTTCCAGTTTCTCAAGTTACTCTTTTGGGAAGTTCCCTTAGTTAAATTTTGAGAGCACTAAAAAGCAAAAAAACCCACATTGTAATCAAGATTTATAGTCAAGTTGGACGTTAACAATGTGAATTCACATCCATGATAACTCCTAGGGGTTCTTCCACCAGGAGTGGGAATCCAGAACACACTAACAGCTCAACTGTAGGATAAGCCCATGGTCTCTGGTAAGCCTGGGGCTAGAGAGGAAAGAGGGGTAAGAGGGCAGCCATCAGCCTTTATCACATCCCCTCATGACAGATTCCTTAAGGTGAGGGGGAGAAAAAAAAAAAAAAAAAGACAGACTAAAGAGCCCAAAAAAGAAACATTTTGTTTTAAAAACAGGAAGCATTAACTTCTTCTTTGCACAAGTATGTAAAGCAGCACAAGTTTCTGTACTGAAAGAACTCTTCACTACCACTCAAATATGCCTCATTTGTTAACTCGGAGTTGCCCAAAGTCCTCTGAAAACACAGAGAAACAGCTGAGCCCTTGGGAAGCCAACGCAATTGCTGCTAATGACTTTGCCAAGGTCAAGATATCTTTCACCAGAAAACTAAACACACATATGTGCCAAGTCTTTCCTTCCACACCAAGTTTGTAGGAGTATTCATGAAGACCCAGAATTTCCACCAAAATTACCCCCTTTTCATTCCACAGTATTTAGCTCTTCCATCACAAATCTATTTTGGTATTATCTTCTACAAAGCTTTTTAAATGGAGGAAAAAAGTCAATAATGAGCTGCAACTTGGGGAAGAGCACTTGGCATTCAAACAGGAACAGAGCTCTATCTGTAGCAGTTTTTAGTTCCTCGGAAAATTTCACTGCGGTGTGTGCTTTGTATTATGCCTTTTATCTTCTTAACAGCTTTGTATCAATCTTCTTCTTAACAAAGTGTATCAATCAAGACAGATTGATACACTTTGTTGCAACTAAGCGTGCCTAACCACTGAAAAAAAAGTCCAAAGAATTGAGTCTCCTGCCACAAGTCACGTAAAGGACTACACAGATTAATCAATGCTGAATGAAGCAAGACCTCTTTGCATTTTGCATAGCAGCAGAAAAAAAAAAAACGCATCACTATATATATTTTTCCCAATTTATGCACTAAGTTGTTCCTGCATTACACAGCCACTCCTGCAACTAAAACAAATAACAAACTTTTGCTTAGTACAAGCGTGCCTTCAAGAAGGTTCAGTCCACCAAGGCATGGAAAACAATCCACTTTCCCCTGCACTATTTTCAGTAGAGTTACCGCAGAACTCCAGAACCTCTTTCCATCCTCTTCCACTGCCGCTCTTGTAAGCTGCACAAGGACAAAGTGCCGCCGTGTGTCAAGCACAGCACACGTCACATTTCAGCAGCAGTCGCCTGGCTATCAGGCAGGCTCCTGTCAGCTTCAGTTAACGAGCACCTAATTATTGTTTTTTTTTTTCCCATTTAAACATTCCAAGAGCTTTCCTCCTCCTGAAGAAACTACTCCATAACAACAGTAGCATAAAAACCCTTTAAAAATGATCTTGCTGTTTAAGTGGTGCTTTAGGATCAGGACCTAGGAATATTTACATGGTTCCTTATCTTACACTAAAGCAAATTTACAGCTCACTTTCCAAAAAGTTCTTGAAAATTTAAGTCTGATCTGGATTAGGATTTTGCTCCCTTAAATATCCAGAGATAAGTCATAGGATATGTACATATATCTTCTTCTTACATGTGTATATGTGCATCTTTTAAAATAGA